ATGGTTTCACTCATATGTGGAACATAAGAAATAGTGAGTAGGACCATAGGGGAAGGGAGGAAAACTGAATGAGAAGAAATCAGAGAGGGAGAAAAACCATGAGAGACCCTGGACTCCGGGAAACAAACTGAGGGTTACAGAAGAAAGGGGGATGGGGTAGCCGGGTGATGCGTGTTAAGGAGGGTATGTGTTGTGATGAGCACTGGGTGTTATACGCAACTAATGAATCGTTGAACACTACATCAAAAACTAATGATGTACTATATATTGGCTAACAGAACATAATTTTAAAAAACTACCAAAAAACTACTAGAACTAAGAAGTGAATTGAACAAGGTCAAAATATAGTACATAAATATATAGAGATTTATTGCATTTCTGTATAATAGTAACTGGGAAATTACATTTTAGAAAAACAAGTTACAAACTAAATAAGCAAAATCAATTATGTTTCTATATAGCAGCAATTGGAAATGAAATTTAAACAAAATTTAAACAATATCTTTACACTGAATACTAAAATAAATAACTAAGAGAAATTTAAAAAGAGCTAAAAGTATGCAAAGATAAATCATATTAATATAAAGATGCCAATTCTCTCCAAACTGATAACTTGTTTCAATTCCAATAAAAACCCAACAGCTTATTTTTTTTAATTGTCAAGACACTTCTAAAGTTTATATGGAATTGCAATAAATCTAGAATAATCAAAATAATCTTGAAACAGGAGAACAGAGTCAGAGAAATTATAATATCTACATCTAGATTATTATCAAATTAATTTATCCATCATAAATCTCCTTTAATAATCAATCATTTTTTAACATCTGTATTCAGTTCTATAGAAAGATTTACAATAGTTATTTTTGAGCAGTGATTTTAAAACTTTTTTCCATAGAGTACTAACATTTTGAGGGGGTACCTCACAGGCTGCCTGTGGATAGACCTCTTGGTTCTTTATACCCTCTTTAACCAAAGAATGACAATTGTAGCTGTTTTATATTTGAGACTTTCAAGGGAGATTTCCTCTAGATAAAGAATTTAATGACTGAAAATCATTTGATAAACACTGATTGGACATATCCCTATTTTAACTGGTTTCAGACCAAAGGACAATCCTTTTCTAGCCTAAGTTCTCCATTTTTAGGCTTTTCCAAGTGATTGTTTTCAAGAAGGGTACATGTTTCTGAGTCCTTGCATATCTGAGATGTCTTTTTGTTATTTCACAAGTTAATTAGGCTGGGTATAATAGCAATAACTTACAAACTTTGGTTCTCAAAATTCTATATAAATACTCTATTTTCTTCTAAATTTAGGCTTTCAGAATAAAAGCCAAAGAACAACCAATTTTTTTTTTTTTTAGGTATTGGTTTCTTTGCTTAGATGCTTGTGAAAGTTTTTTCTTAACTTTATGAACTAAAATTCTTGCCAGGATATATTCTATGTGTGCTTTTGTGCATTGACTTGTCTGGAACACAATGATTTTTTTCAATATGGGTCTTACTTCTGCTCAAGAATTTTTCCTGTTATATCTTTGGGGGGAGGATGAGATTATTTATTTATTTATTTATTTATTTATTTATTTATTTATTTAAATTCCTGTATAGTTAACATATAGTGTAATATTAGTTTCATGTGTGCAAAATAGTAATTCAACACTTCCATACATCACCCGGTGCTCATCACAACAAGTGCACTCCTTAATCCCCATTCCCTATTTAACCCATTCCCCCACTCACCTCCCCTCTGGTAACCATCAGTTTGTTCTCTATAGTTAAGAATCTGTTTCTTCATTTCTCTCCCTCTCTCTCTCTCTCTCTTTCTCTCTCTCTCCCTTTTTCTGTTGTATCTTTGTTTTTTTCCATTAGTTTAAGTGTCTTCTTCAAGAATACCAGTTATCCACGTATTTATTCTCTGCTCTTTAACATCCATATGTTTTGTATTCTATTGAGGAAGCCAACACTTCCAGTTGAAATCTTCCAGTTTCTGGACCCTCCAGTAAATCACTTCAGAGATACGCTCTTCCTTTGGGTCTTCTAGATACTCTTTCTTCCCTTGTAGTAAAGTCTTTTTCACACACTTCATGTGGTTTTTACCTCTTCCTTATTTATCTTTGAACAAGTTGAAATCTATTCATATTTGGTGTTTATCAAAACACAGAGAAGTTAAAGCATTCTTGGCTCCACTCCATTTATTAGATGTGCACAGCATCTGGCCTAACCCCTAACCTAAACCCATCATGGATTCTCAAAAATTAATTCCCAGCATGCACCATTACTGGGGTTTAGTTCATGGTGGTTTTTGTTTGTTTGTGATCCAACCTAAACCTAAAGAGCTTTACCCTTCAGAAATTTTCCCCTGAAAATGCAACATACCTCCACCAGTCCTCCAACTCAGCCAAAGCTGACCTCATTTTCTCAGGATCCAAATTGTTTTCTGAGAATTTTAATTTGTGGGATATAGAATGATGTGAAAATACTCTCAGCCTCACAAAACACACATGAGTAAAAGCCCACCTGCTTGGTTGTATTGATAATGAACAAGACAGTGGAGGGAACACAATACCTTCACTCCCCCATTTCAAAAGGTTTTTTGTGTCATGTAGTAAAGCCAACTCAGTGTGCCATAGAAAGAGACTGGGGTAGATTTGTCTCAATCTTGCTTTATAATTAGTAAAGATTCTTCCCCAATTTTGAGACTATCCTGCTCATTGTTTTTATTTTTGTGTTTAAATTATCATATTTTTTCTTTGTCTTTACAGGCACTTTGGTAGGAAATTTGAGAAAGACTTCCCCAGGGACTTTTAGCCAGGCTCCATTTTTACCTGGAATTCCTATAGCTTCTTCTTCTTTTTTTTTTTTTTTTAAGATTTTATTTATTTATTTGACAGAGAGTGACACAGCTAGAGAGGGACCACAAGCAGGGGGAGTGGGAGAGGGAGAAGCAGGCTTCCCGCCGAGCAGGGAGCCCGATGCGGGGCTCGATCCCAGGACCCTGGGATCATGACCTGAGCCGAAGGCAGATGCTTAACGACTGAGCCACCCAGTCGCCCCTAGAATTCCTATAGCTTCTTAATGAATAATTAAAACATATCTGGGGAGGATATTCAGGAAGTAAATCAATGCTAGAGATTGTTCATTAAAGATATGAAATCTGGGTATCTCAATATGAAAAGAGAGAAATATTATTTTCAGGAGCGAAATAAAATTCTTAATAACTGACTAAGATTCCTTGCAGAAATGATGACAAAGAATGATACTCCCAAAATAAAAGGCTTATGCTGAGAGCTCAAGTTGCTCTCCACCCAAGCAGAATTAAGAGTACCATTCTGCAGATTTGGGATTCATGTCACCACATCAAGTCCTAGCTATAATGCAGGCAATAACGTTTCATAAAAAAGAACACCATGTGGCGGCCTTGCTAATCTTCTGGATGAGAATCAGTTGTAAGTTGGCAACACGCATTGACGTGCCTTGGACTAAAAGGAGTTCTTAACATGACACTGCAGTTTTTAGGGCTATTCAGAGATAAGAGCTATATGGTCAAATATAGCGTGGAATATGGGCAACTGTAAAACAATTTAATATTAAGCACTTAAGTAAAATGAAATTTTTTTAATTTAAGATAGTTCAAACAAAAGCCTACAGGTAATTGGAGACCACAGTTAGTAGTTGATATCTTTTCGAGTGGGATGTGAGAACAGTACTGCTAGATGAGGGTCCGCTTAAGGTTGAGTCTTGTCATCTTTTTTTAAAAGAATTTAAGTTCTTTAGTTTTAATGAAAGAACTTTATTAAAGGAATGGATAGATGGCTCATTCTGGGAGCTGAAACTGTCTCCACCAAGAATAAAATGTTCCCCCATGAGAAATCTGAGCTCTCCATGGCTAGTGCCCTAAATAAAGGAGGCCCAATCACTTTTCTGAGGTCAATGTTAATATCCCCAAACTTCCAAGCATTGAACAGCTCCACGTTCTTCACTAGCCAAATGAGCAGAATTTAACAAGAAAGGGCTTGCCTTCACTATGCTAAAGAAAGGCTTAAACTACAGCCTGCTTAAATCTAATCTCCCAAGTAAGAAGTACCATAAAGCAAGACAGGAACAGGGAGACAGAAAGGGGATAGAAACTGAGTAGCTGAGACTGGGATGGGATCAGGAGGTGGGCAAAATATTTTTAAAAGCAGAGCCTTGGTACTCTGGCAACACATAACAGGGAAACATCTTGTTTGTACTAGTCTGTCCTGTCCTCCCAATAGGAGGGGCCCTGCTAATCCTTGGATAAATTTATTTTAGAGCTGAAAGAGAATTTAGAGATTATCTAGTCCAGTCCCCTCACTTGAGGACACTTAGGCCCCAAAGCATTAAAAGACTTGCTGGGCTTATGTGGTAAATACGTTGCAGAAATGGAATTATAACCCCAAACCTCCTATGTTCATTGTGATGTTCCTTCCACAACAACACCAACTCCTCATAGCACTTCTTGTGGGAATTCTAAGGGAGGCAGTATATTACAGTGGAAAGAGAAGTATATCAACTATAAGTTCTGAGTTCTAGTCTTTGGTCTCCTAGTTTGAATGACAGAACCCTAGAAGTCAAGACTTCAAGTAGTTCAACCTGCCACCCAAAGCAAGAAGCCCCTAGGTAATATCCATGAACAACTGGACAGTCAGACTCTTGTGACCACTTCTTCAAGGGCAGGTATCTCACTACCTTAGTGAGAGCTGATATGTCTCAATGACCTGAAATCTGCTTCTCTAAAATTTCTATTCTGATCTCCAAGAAGGGGCTTTCATCTCTTCTACATGATAATACTGCTCATTTAGCTCAACAAACAGTCACTCAAAGCCCATACATGCTAAATTCTGGAGCTATAAACTTAACATTAAGGAATGCATAATCTAGTCAGGAAGATAATCCTTAATTACTATTAAATATGATAATGCATGCCTACCAGTGCCAGGCACATCTAAACACTCAAAAAATATTAGAAATTATTCTTACTATTATATAGCTCTTCCATTGTCTTGTGTTCAGACTGAGTGTCCACTTTCTTCAAGCATGCAGCATAGAATGTGGCCTGTAGATCAGGGATCAGCAAGCTCTTTTTTCTGGGAAGGGGCAGATGGTAAATATTATAGATTGTGTAAGCCATATATCAATGTCACAATTACTCAACTCTGCATTTCTAAGACAAAAGCAGCCATAGAGAATATGTAAATGAATGGGTGTGGATGCGTTCCAAGAAAACTTGGCCCATAAAAACAGAGGGCTGGCTGGATTTGACCCCCAGGCCATAGTTTGCTAACCTCTGCTTTGCTATCAGGGGCGCCTGGGTGGTTCAGTCCACTCCAGCAATTGTCAAGCTTTGCCCATGAATACATAGTTTTCAATTAGCTTTTTAGTGCCTCATTTTAAAATATGAACAGCTAACCAAGGATCACCAGGCATTTCAGGAAAACCACCAATCAATATTTAAGACAGAGACCAATATAAACATGCAAAAAGAAGAAGCAGAAGCAGCAGAAGCAGCAGAAAAGAAGAAGAAGGAGGAGAAGGAGAATGAGAAGAAGGAAAAGGAGGAGAAGGAGAAGGAGGAGAAGAAGAAAGAAGAAGAAGAAGAAGAAAGAAGAAGAAGAAGAAGAAGAAGAAGAAGAAGAAGAAGAAGAAGAAGAAGAAGGTGACGAAGAAGAGGAAGAAGAAGAAGAAGAAGAAGAAGAAGAAGAAGAAGAAGAAGAAGAAGAAGAAGAAGAAGAAGAAGAAAGGGGAGGAGGAAGGAGGCAGAGGAAGAGGGGGAGAGGGAAAGGGGAAGAGGAGGGGGGGAGGAGAGGGAGAAGGAGAAGGAAAAGCCACCACTGCCTGAAGAACTGGAAATAATACAAGGAATTTAAAAAGAAACCCTTCCCCCAAAATCTATAAGTAATATCTTCAGAGAGTTTGTTTAACCTATTAGATTCACTAAGCAGGAATAAGATGCCATGAACAAAAGGAATATTTAGATATTCAGAGAATAAAAAAAAAGAAAACAGTAAATAGAAAGATTGAAAGATAAAATTGAAGAAGTTTTCCAGAAAGCAGACCAAAAGAAAAAAAATGAGAATATTAATAAAGAAGATCTAATATTTAACTAATAGGAATTCCAAAAAGAAAGAATAGAGATAACAGAAGAGAGGACATTATCTAAGAAATAACACCGGCAATTTTCCTAGAACTGAAGGAAACTAAATTCCCTATTGAAATGGTCCCTGAGAGCTCAACACAATATGCACGCCCCTTGGCACATTATAGCCCAAATGTTAGAAGTTACTCAGACAACTCACTGTTTTTGAGCTGGGCTAGGTACTGGTCCAGCAACAAACAGGAAAGACACAATCCCTGACTTTGGAAGTTTAAAGGCTAATGGTGGGTCAGCTTTCCTCATATATCCTCCAAAAGATTCTCCTCTAAAAGATACATTTTCCCCCAGACTACAAAGTGTTTTGTTCTTAGTAAATCCTAAGCCTGGTCCAGATGATTAACTTACCCCATCGTGACCAATAGACTCACTCCTAGCCCCAAGTGGCTGGTAGAAATTTAACTTCCCTACCCAAGGAGGTTCTCCCTTACCCCTCTTTTCTGAAACAGGTTTTTGTAAATATTTATTCTTTCTTGCTACAGTCCATCTTGACAACCGACCTTCCCACAGAGTTGGTATATAGTAGAAACCATGACAACAACAACAAGCATGATGTACATCTGCTGTCTCAAATTCTTTCTGGAAAGAATCGGGATCTTAACAAACCAGTGAAGATAAACAGATATATAACATTCAGTTTAGCACTCTACTGGTCTTTTTCACACATTAATTCTCTTTACAACCCCATTTAATCCTCTTTACAACTTTGTGATGTAGATACTCTTGGCCATTTATGTACAAAGTTCAAAGGGGTTAAATAACTTACCCAGGGGCCCACAGATAGGGAATGGTACTGTTGGAGTCACCTGCAGGTCCTCTGGCCCAAATTCCAAATTCTTCCTTCCACCGTACAGATTTAATTGCACAATGAAAGCCCCTATTTGACTCCCCTCACACATAACACACAGAAAAAACCCAGCTTGTGTAAAGCAACATCTACCACAAATCACCTCCAAAATTAATCATTAGCAATCATGAATCACAAATTAATCTCTGAATTGGCACAACACAACACTTGGTACTGCCAGGAAGCATGTATGAGGTACCAAGCAGCATGTACCTAATCTGAGAAAGACAGCAAACTGTAACAGAAAGCTCAATCATTTGATGGGTCAGAGACCAGCCATAATTCTGTCTCATATTTGGTCAGATTATATAACCTCCCTGGACTGACTGATCCTTACCTATGAAATGAGAGATTGAGACTAGATGTTGCTAATTCCCTTCCAGCTGTAACATGACCTCTGAAAACATAAGACTTTAGTCCTTATTTAACTATACTTGATTAAGTAAGTAATGAACATGAAAAATTGTTTAAACTCACTAGTAATCAAAAACATAAATTAAATCAAGAGGCCAATTTACCTATCAAATTATCAAATATTTTTAACTTTTAATATTTCTTTAATATCCAAGAAATAAAATCCAAGAGGGACAGTTAGAAATAGAGATATGAAAATGTCACTATCCACAATCCTGAGTCAAATATAACTACCGTTCACATTTGTATGTCCTTCAGAAGCAACATCATGTTATTCTTTTGGTTTAATAACCATTTTACAGGGCGCCTGGGTGGCTCAGTTGTTAAGCGTCTGTCTTTGGCTCAGGTCATGATCTCAGGGTCGTGGGATAGAGTCCCACATCGGGCTCCCTGCTCAGTGGGAAGCCTGCTTCTCCCTCTCCCACTCCCCTTGCTTGTGTTCCCTCTCTTGCTGTGTCTCTGTCAAATAAATAAAATCTTTAAGAAAAAAAATAACCAATTTATTCCACAAAATGTATTGCAGATATCTTCCCATTTCAATACAGAGCTACATCATCCTTTTATGGGGCTGTATCATCATTTATGTAGCCAGTTCCCTAGTACTGGACATGATTTGTTGTTATTTTACTATTATAAACAGCACCAGGGTGAGCATCCTTGTAATATACAACTTGTTTGATTATCTCCTCAGCCTAAATTCCTATAAGTGGAATTTCTGGTATGCAAATATTTAAGACTTGTGGCAACGTTTGCCAAACTGTCTCCAGAAGTACATTTCACTCTCCTACCTGCCCCATATGAAATTGCCTATTTCCCATAGTTTCACCATCACGGGGTATAAGAATCTTAACTTTTGCCAAACTGACTGGGAAACCTGTTTAACTTTAAAGTCTTTGTTTTTTCGTGAGTTAAAACTTTCCATACATGGCTATCAAAATTTTTAATTATTTATTTATTTATGATGGTTATATCCTTTACCCGTTTTTCTGTTGGCATTTCATGGCTGGTGAGACGGTAATTACTGTGTCCCCATGGAATTTTTCACATAAGCAATAGTTGAAGGAAAAGAAGATTGTTTAACCTGAGGAAAAGACTCAGGTGAGATATGATTATAAACTATAAACATTTGAAGAACTGCCCTTGATACAGAAGCCCGTGTAGGGTGCAGAATGTGGACCGTCATTTATTAAGTGTTTAAATATGACAGCTGGGATTTATACAAACCAAATAGCCTGAGACAGGTCCCACGCTAGTTTGGGTGTCATTTGAAGGTGGTTTCCTATCAATCCCCCTTGTACATGGGTAGAGAAGGGATTCTAACCATCCTAACCCAAATTGCAGCAGGGGTCCAGGGCGCAGGACCCCAGCCCTGCACAGCTAGCCCAGAAAGTCAGGAACAAGTGGAAGTGAACTCTAGTTTTGAATGATTACCACAGTCATGAGATGTTAATCACAGCAGAACTGTGCTTGTCCCATCTCTTACTACAAACAGTATCACAGAACTGGGATATTGCAGGACAAATGAACCTTAACCACAGATTTTTACCAATATGTTTTCAGAGGCCTCGGGCCCTAGTTTCAAGAGGAAGTATACCCCTTTAGGTTGGAATTCATTTGCAAGTACAAGGATAATTTCACACTCTCAGATAATGGTAGACAACGCCATGCCTGGCTTCCCGCTCTAAGAACACCTACACAGAGTCCACTTGGAAGGCAGGCTGTGCAGTGATCTTCAAGACCTACTTGAGTTCTGGAGGCAGTATAATCACCCCAAAACCAGAATCCTCAAGCCAGGCTGGACCCAATATCCAAGGTAACATGGGAAGTAGGGAATTCAAATATGAATAGCTCTGTGTGACCTTCTGCCTGGACATCCGGGGTAAAGTCATCTACACGACAAGCTTTCCCACCATCAGTTGCCCACTGATGAATTCACTTTCCCACATGGGATTTCAGCCATGTTAGAAGCTACACTGGGAAGCTATACCGGTAGTCTTTTAAATCTGGTTAATATTCTATGGTCCATCACAGCCATGGTCAGCAGGCAAGTTGCAGAGTCTCATCATTCCAAAGCCAGTGGAAACACTCTAGAGTAAGTTGTCAATCACAAAAGAAATGAGGACACAAAGCTAGATCTGATCAGTTCCTCCCTTAGAGGACAATTCAAAAATTACCCAACAGCTGTAAGTGATCAAGGAGTCTAAGATAACTACAGCATAGACAAAGCATCACTCTAGTTTCAAGCATCCAGCATTTAAGTAGGAAAGAACTCCTCATGCTGCCTGGGTTCTTCCTCATACATGGGCACAGACTATGCTAGGATCCCAGCAGGTCTGATGAGCTGATATGGGCAGTGGTCATTCTATCTTTTTACTAGTAGCCATACACAAGGAGTCAAACTTGGACAGACATCCATACTAGCTTATTTTAAAAGGATCTGACAAGGCCCTTCAAAAACTGGGCACCTAAGGTATTAACATCCAAATAATAATAACATCCAAATAATAGCTAATGTGATTCTTTCTCATTTTTTTTTTTACTCCACTCTCCTCAACCAGAGATGATAGATCTACCCATGCCAGGATGGTTTATAGTCACTACAGCACTCCTACCACATAAGAAGTTTTCCCACACATGGAGTTTCTTTGGTTTGCAGGTGAACATGACATTTTTCC